AAACGAAGACCCCCTAGGAAACGAAGACCTCGAAAACGAAGATCACCTAGAAAACAAAGACCTCGAAAACGAAACCCCCTAGAAAACGAAGACCTCGAAAACGAAGACCCCCTAGAAAACGAAATTCTATCCGTGAGGCGAAAGATCGATGGCACAACGCTTTGTTCGGTCATACTGTGGAAACAACCCTATAAATTTTACGGAAGTCGTCCTGACAAGTCTTGATAGGGCATTACAAAAACTAAGACCCTCAAAAAACGAAGACGTAAGACCTAAGAACTCGATCAAAACCGTCGGCGAAATTAGCACCGAATAAGACATTAAATTGAATCACCCGTGTTGTGACCCCCTACAAAACGAAGACAGAACTTATACATTGTAGTAAACGAAGATGGAATCGCGGCCTAGATTTTTCTTAGCTTTTTCCCTGGATGTAAACCGATGTAATGCTGCATACAGGTTTGCTCGCGTAAGGACAAAGGGTTGTGTGACGAAACTGAATACTAAGGATTGTCTTGGCAAATCTTGTTGGCAGGGAGTCACTCCAACATTGCAAATTTATGTCGCATGATTGCGCGTCACGGCATGATGGCTTGAAAGGTCATCAGGCTATAGGGGTGTTTCGGCAGAAAGAATAACAGAGGAATTCTTGTTTGTAAGACCGGGCACGATCTCAAATGATGTCAACTTTTCAGAAGTTCAAGCTTCCCCAGCTGGTAAGGACTGACAATTGACAACGGAATTGACCTAAGTATCCCGTGCTGCAATTGCGACCAATTGGCCTTTACACAGCATAAAATGTCTCGTAACCCATAATTCGACGGTTTACATCAGTTTATGTCGAGCATCTTAGGTCTTAGTTTTCCCGGATAGATGAACACAAAATACATAGAAACATTCTTCCCCTGCGAAAAACAACATGACAACAACTAGAAAAGAAACAAGATGTGTTGATAAGGCAGGATTTCAACAGACACGTCAGCACGATTCGATCACATACAGTGATTTGGAGGGGGTCTTCGTTTTCTAGGGGGTCTTCCTTTTCTAGGGGTCTTCGTTTTCGAGGTCTTTGTTTTCTAGGGGGTCTTCATTTTCGAGGGGTCTTCGGTCTTCGGTCTTCGGTCTTCGCTTTTTAGACAACCAGAAGATAACTTATGTATCCGAAATTTTATAGCTCTTTTTGGTTTCTTTTTGAAATCATAGAGAAAGGTTGCGTAGGCAGAAATAAACATGATAACAGCAAAACTAAGAGCTACAGTTTAACTC